TTCATTATGGGAAACGCAATCCCGGACGACTGCCCACCTCGTTCCCACCCGCCCGCCCTTCGGCCCACCCGCCCTCGGCAGCGCCACGGGGCGGCCTCGGACGCGGCAGCTCGGGCGCCCAGGCGGCCGACGTCCAGCGGCGGGGGAAAGAGGGGCAAGGATGAGACGACGCGAGATGAGCACGAGAAGCTCTGCAGAAGGTACCGCCCACCCGCCCACCGGTCCACCTCCTGCCGCAGCTTGGGCGCACTCCTTCCGTGTGTTTCATTTTTATCCACGGGGATTTCCAGAGGTAGTCGACATCCTCACAGCTCCCACAACTAGGGGAACAAACAATAACATAAGCATAATCACCCGGAGGTCCGCGCGGATTTTTCGGATTGGCGCTGGACCCCCGTCCATGGCGTGCGGAGCGCGCCAGGGGCGGCGCCGGAGGCGCCGCCAGGAGGTCCCAGCGCCGATCCGAGGAATCCACGCGGACCTCCGAGTTTTTATGTTTATGTCATTGTTTGTTCCCCTACACAGCTCCAGTCAGCGGCTTGCATGGGTCCGAGGTGGCGCGAGCGGGTCCGTGAGGAAGCGCGCAAAGGAGCGCCAAATCCACGCGGAGGAGGAGGAGGAGAGGGAGGATGATGATGATTATGATGATGATGATGATGAGGAGGAGGAGAAGGAGGAGGAGGAGGAGGAGGAGGAGGAGGAGGAGGAGGAGGAGGAGGCACGAGTGGGCCCGTGAGGAAACGCGCAAGAGAGCACCAAATCCAGGCGCCCGAGCGACGCCCGCACCTCCCGCCCGCTGCCGCCGAGCCCCGGGCGCGTGCGGTCTCTTCTCCGCCAGCACCCCTGGCAGCCCCTCGGAAGCCCCCCGCTGCTCCAGCAGGCGGGTCCTCGGCCGGGGGGGGGGGGGCACTGTGGCTTTAGGTCGGGCATGTCCCTCTGCAGGCGGATTTGGGAAGACGAAATAACAAATAGTCAGAACAGAAGCAACAATCGTCAACACAATAACGAAAGATTCGTCCCCAGACTATTTGTGAAGCTATTCTCGAATCTGCCTCCTGTAGAGGGGCACGCCCGACTTAACCGTGGCCCGCGTGCGTGGTGGTGGTGGTGGGGGGGGGCGTCGGGCCGGGCAGAGCAGTCCTCCAAAGCTCCTGGAGCTCAGCCAGGGGGGGAAGACGTGAAGGCCTCCAGCCTAGGTGGCGCACCCAGTGGGCAACCAAGCCCATCCAGGAGCAAGGTTTTTTCCTGTAGGTTCTGGCGAGTTTGCTTGCATGCAGGGGGAGGGGGGGGGGCCTGGCGAGGCCCTGAAGGAACTCTGGGCTTCATGCCAGTCAAGCCCCCTTGCACGCCCTTTCGGCCCAGCATTGCTCCACGAGGCGGCGGAGGGGTGGGTGGGTGCAACATCCCATGCAAGTTGACCTGCTTGAGCTGACTGAAAAACACGCTCCAAGCCCCCTCCAGTCCTGGAGGCCTCCTGGATGGGGTCCGAGTCGATGAGGTCGGAGGATCTCGCCGCATCGCCGGTACATCGGCGATGCACTGGCGACGTCGGCGATGCATCGGCGACGTCGGCGTGGAGAAAAGTAGGCCCCAACTCGAGCCGCATCGTCGATGCATCGCCGATGCATCGGCGATCCGGCACGTGCTCGCTCCGTGGCCGCCCAACGTAGCTTGCATCACATATTTTGCACCACGTAGCTTGCACGGAACTTGCACCACACAGCTAGCATCTGTACAGCTTGCGCCCCACAGCTTGCACCACACCCCTTGCACCACGTTAATTGCATGGCATTACACAGGTCCGCAGAACCAACCGTTTGGGGCTCGCCGTGGCTGAAATTTGAGCTTGAACTCTCAGCTCTGAAGGATGATTATTGCTGGTGCCCCGACTGGTGCCCACATACATATATATATATATATATATATATATATATATATATAGATATGTTTCGATTGGAGTGCCAACCCGGGGCTCGCACCCTGTTCTTGCATCGAGAAAAACCTTGAGCCTCGAACTGAGCCCCTGGGCCCCCGGTCACAACAACAACGGCCCCCGCCTGACGCGTCCTCGCACTTCTATTCAAAACCGCGCTCTCGCTGGGGACTTCCTCACAATTCGCCAAGGCATCGTGCTCTCGCTGGGCGTTGCGCTCTCGACGTCCAAGAAACGCGCTCTCGTGCGAGATCCCTTCGCACTTGACTCCTGCTCTCGCCTGAAACTTCTACAGTCGGGGCGCTGACCTAAGGAACCCTGAATAAGGAACGAGGCCCCTCTTTCCATGAGTTCACCTTCGATTTCCCTCCGAAAGCCCAAGGCAAACGTGGGGCAGACTGTGAAACAGTTGAGGAACACGGAACCCCTACCCAACGAAAAGGGTTCCTTCTTCCAGCGCCCCGACTGTATACGCCTTGAAGAATTGCGCTTCAAAACCTTGAAGATGGAGGAGGAGATGGAGGAGGAGGAGGAAGAGGAGGAGGAGGAGGAGATGGAGGAGGAAATGGAGGAGATGGAGGAGGAGATGGAGGAGATGGAGAGGATGGAGGAGGATGGAGGAGGATGGAGGAGAGGAGATGGAGGAGGAGGAAGAGGAGGCGGAGGCGGAGGCGCCGCCCGGGCCCGCGCTTCGCCGCCCGGGGCGCGCGCCGACTCCTGGCGGCCCGCGCGATCTCCGGGCTGGTGAGGCAGCAGGCCGTCTGCGCGCGCCCAGCGCGCGGCGCGGCGGCGCCGCCGCCGTTGTCTTCGTCGTCGTCGTCGTCGTCGTCGTCGTCGTCGTCGACGACGTCGTCGACTTCGTCGTCGTCGTTGAGGGTCGTCGTCGTCGTCGTCGTCGTCGTCGTCGTCGTCGTCGTTGCCGTCGTCGCCGTCGCCGTCGCCGTCGCCGTCGTCGTCGTCGTCGTCGCCGTCATTGTCATTGTCGTCGTCGTCGTCGTCGTCGTCGTCGTCGTCGTCGTCGTCGTCGTCGTCGTCATCGTCGTCATCGTTGAGTGTCGTCGTTGAGGGTCGTCGTCGTCGTCGTCGTGGAGGGTCGTCGTCTTGATCGCCGTCGTCGCGATGTCGCGGCTGCAAGCGGGTCGAGAGCTCTGGGGTCGTGTCCTGTCTGCAACGAAACGCCGAGATCTGGAAAGGGGTCGAGCGCTCCAGGATGGAGGACAGGCCTCGACTCCCGTCTTCCGTCCTGGGTCGCTCTGACGGCCCCGTGACCCGAAGCGGTCTCCTGGAGGCCGAGGCACAGGAGAGGCCCGCACAGGAAAGTACCACGACGTTGCAGACCTGGGCCCCTCCCTCAGACTCGCCCCCCCCCCCCCCCCCCCCCCCCCCCCCCGCCCCCCCCCCCTGGACCTCCCCCGGGGTGCCGTACGGCTCGAGGCTCGTGGCGGACCCGGCCGCGGCCAGGAGAGCGCCCCAGGATGCCAGAGAACGCTTTTGGAGACTCCGCTGGCGCGGGAGGTCCAGGATCGCGGTTGGGCTGCAGGGTCCAGGGTCGATCCCCGGCGGACCTGCCCAGGGGCGGGCTCGGGCCAGAGCCTCGGGGGGCGGAGCTGGCCGCGGCGACGAGGAGACGCCCCTGGCGGGCCCAGCGCCCCGAGCCTTTTGCTGTTCGTTTTTACCTAACAGCGAAGACTGATAGGTTTCTAGTAGTGCCAAAAGAAAGCATCTGATGACTCAGAAGGGAGGTCTGGGCGGCATCCGGACAGCGAGGGCCGGGCTCAGGGCCGGGCTCGTTTTAAACAAACAGTCGCACACTTCGTGCTCTTCGACCTCCCAGAACTCCATTCCCGGGCCACATTTTGAATGCCCGGAGCCAACTGTAGGCCACTTCGTGCTCTTCGACTTCCCAGAACTCCATTCCCGGGCCACATTTTGGATGCCCGGAGCCAACTGTAAGCCACTTCGTGCTCTTCCACTTCCCAGAACTCCATTCCCGGGCCACATTTTGAATGCCCGGAGCCAACGATATGCCACTTCGTGCTCTTAGACTTCCCAAAACACCATTCCCGGGCCACATGTTGAATGCCCGGAGCCAACTGTAGGCCACTTCGTGCTCTTCCGCTTCCCAGAACTCCACTCCCGGGCCACATGTTGAATGCCCGGAGCCAACTGTACGCCACTTCGTGCTCTCCACTTCCCAGACTTCCAAGACTCATCATCTTCATCATCATCATCGTCCCCGTAGCCTTCTTGGCTACAGCCCTGCTTTCGAAGATTTCCTTTCAAAGGAACTGCGCAACGCCTACTGCGCACCTTAATGCCAGGACATGCTGATAGTTCTCGGTCTGGCGGCGGTGCTCCTGACCCTGCTGCATTGAACAGCGGTGCTCCTCAGCCTGCGGCAGGGAACAGCGCTGCTCCTCGGCGTGCTGCATTGAGCGGTCCTCAGCAAACGCTCGTCGAGCACGTGAAGCAGTTCGGCCGGATACCGAAGCGAAATCAAGGAACGTCCGAACAAGAACGGGCCGAAAACAAATTGGCCAAACGTTTCTCGGACCATCGCGACCGCATCCCCAAAGACATTTTGCATGAACTGCGGGCCCTGGGCTGTGCTGATCAGCAGACGGAAACCGAGGAGCTCAAGCGGAAGCAGAAGACCGAGGAGCTCATGCAGCAACTTCACTGTTACCACTACTACTCACTGTTACCACTACTTCACTGGTACCACCGAGATGAAGTAGTAGTTAAGCTCATGGAGCTCAACTACTACTTCACTGTTACCACTACTACCATCACTACTACTTCTACTGCTACTACTACTGTTACTATTACTGCTGCTGCTGCTGCTGTTGCTGCTGCTAGTGTAGCTATTGCTACTGCAACTACTGGCAGTACCACTGCGACTGCCGCTGATGTTGCCACTGCGACTGCCACTGCGAATCCGAATGCGACTGCGAGAACACCAGAATTCTACAACAGCACTCTTACATGAATACCACAGGCAATGTTTCCAGCTATGCTTCTACACATCGCTGTTAGGTTGCTTTGCCAGGATATTGTTTTTTGTTTGTTTTTGTTTTTTGAATGCGTTTCGTTGTTGCTGGTTGTTTGTTGTTTCTTATATGTTTGATTTTGTTTTTTGCTATTTGCATATGTAGGTATGAATTCGTGTGCTTGTTTTGTTTGTTGTGTGCATATAAACATACGAACAGACAGATACTATAACATAGAATGAGGACAGCTGGTTATTGAAAACCTGGAGTTGTTGTTGTGGTTGTTGCTGTTGCTGTTGCTGTTGCTGTTGCTGTTGTTGTTGTTGTTGTTGTTGTTATTGTTGCTGTTGCTGTTGCTGTTGTTGTTGGTGTTGCTGTTGCTGCTGCTGCTGCTGTTGTTGTTGCTGTTGCTGTTGTTGTTGTTGTTGTTGTTGTTGTTGTTGTTGTTGTTGTTGTTGTTTTGTTTGTTGTTTGTTGTCTGCTGGGTAAAAGAGAATTTAGAGAACGGTGGTGGAGAGCCAGAGATGCCAGGCCGGGAGCGCGCCTGGCGGCCGAGCCGCGCCCGGGAGTCAGCGACCCCGCAGGGGGTGGTCTGCCAGGGGTGCGGTCTGCCACCGGCACCCCCAGGGGGCGGGCGAGGACCTCGGCGGAGCCCTCCGCCGCGCCGGGGAGGGCTCCGACGAGGGCCACGCGGGGCCCCCCCGGGGCCCCGACGGCGCAGATCGCAGACCACACCCTGGCAGGCGTCTCGGCCGGGCGTGTCCTCCTACAGGTGGGTCTTGGATGAGGAATAAGCAAATGCCTCCCACGCTGGACCCCCTGGCGGCGCCTCCTGCGCCGCCCCTGGCACGCTCCGCGCGCCTGGGAGGGGGGTCCACCGCCGATCTGAGACATCCGCGCGGACCTCCGAATCCCACCAGCCCTTTAGGGCGTGAGTGGTTTCGCGAGCCCCCTCTGTCCTCAACCCCCCTTCTTCCCCTTCGGGGAGGGGTTTACCCCTCCCCCTGCCCCCTCCCCCTGGGTCTGGAGAGGGCGGGCCGCGGGTGGTTGGAGGGGTCTTTTTCGACTCCTGGGAGGGCCAAAAAACGACGACCCTCACGAGGATTCTGGCCCCGACGGGGGGAGGGAGAAAAAATGTTCTCCTCTTCTCTGAAGCCAAAATCATTGTTTTTACGAGGGTTTTGGCCCCATTTTGGCCTCTCCAGGGGGCCGCGCTCATCTTCCTTCATAGCAAAATCATTGATTTTATGAAGGTTTTGGGCTCATTTTGTCCTTCTCAGGGGGCAGCGCTTCTTTGCGCTTCTGAGGAGGTCGCAAGAGGCCCCAAGATGGCCCCAAGAGGCCCCCAGGAGCCTCCCAAGAGGCCTCCAAGAGGCCCCCAAGAGGCCCCCCAGAGGCCCCCAGAGGCCCCCAAGAGGCCCCCAAGAGGCCCCCCAGAGGCCCCCAGAGGCCCCAGGAGGCCCCCAAGAGGCCCCCAAGAGGCCCCCAAGAGGCCCCCAAGAGGCCCCAAGAGGCTCCAAGAGGCCCCCAAGAGGCCCCACGAGGAGCCCGAACGACTCACACCAGGACGAGGGGCCCGAACGACTCACACCACGAAGAGCCCGAACGACTCACACCACAAGGAGGGGCCCGAACGACTCACACCAGGACGAGGCGCCCGAACGACTCACACCACGAGGAGCCCGAACGACTCACACCACGACGCGGGCCCCGAACGACTCACACCACGAGGAGCCCGAACGAGTCACACCAGGAGGAGGGGCCCGAACGACTCACACCAGGATGAGGGGCCCGAACAACTCACACCACGAGAAGCCCGAACGACTCACACCAGGACGAAGAGCCCGAACGACTCACACCACGAAGAGCCCGAACGACTCACACCAGGAAGAAGGGCCCGAACGACTCACACCAGGACGAGAAACCCGAAACGACTCAAATCACGAGGAGCGCTTTCTCTCCCTCCTCCTCCGCCTCGTCCTTCTCCCGCTCCCCCCACAAGGAGGATGTACAAGGAGGCGGGAGGAAGGAGGAACAGGGGAGATATGCGGGGCCAAACGGACACACGCCTGAAAAACACGACTGTCGGCATGCTTCGCATGAGTTGCTGCTGTTGTGAGATGGGCTGGTGGGGATACGCGAAGCGTAAAGAATTCTTATGTTTATGTCACTTTTTGTTACCCTACACATGTTCTCAGGCAGCCAAAAACTCGTCCTGAGAGTATTTTGTGGACTATTTCTGAAAATTCCTCCTGTAGAGGGACAGGCCCGACTTAAGCATACGTCAGGTTCGTGTCGTGCCGACTTCGGCGCTGGCTTCTGACACCGCGGGAATCATTCCACCTTGAACGACCGGCCGCTTCCGAAGCGTCCAAACCTCGCTCCACACCGAACGGTTCTGGGCCGCCAGGCCCACGTTCCACGTGGAACGCCGCTGGCGGGGTCGCCGCCGGTCGGCACGACACGATCCTACCGTAGCCACACCCTTCGTAGTCTTAGGTCGGGCGCGTTCCTCTACAGGCGGATTTTGGACGACAAATTTCAAAAATACCCTCAAAGACAAAACAAAATGCAGAAACACCAACAAAAATGGTCCCCAGACTGTGTTCGGACTATTTCTGCATGTCCCTCCCGTCGAGGGACACGCCCGACTTACCCGCAGCCCCTTCGGCCTATTTCTGCATGTCCCTCCCGTCGAGGGACCCGCCCGACTTACCCGTAGCCCCTTCGTAGCCGCAGCGGGAAAGGCCCGACCCCACCGCAGCCGCCGAGGGAGGCCGCCCGCGGCCCGCGGGCGCCCCTTCGTCGGCGGAGGGCGCGCGGCGGGCGCGCGGCGTGCCGCAGGCTGGCTGCCGCCCCAGGCGGCCTCGGCGCGGGGAGGCAGCCGCCGCGGGCCGCCCGCCGCTGGCCGCCGCCGCCGCGGCGGCCGGCGCCGTCGTCGTCGTCGTCGTCGTCGTCGTCGTCGTCGTCGTCGCCGTCGTCGTCGTCGTCGTCGTCGTCGCCGTCGCCGTCGCCGTCGCCGTCGCCGTCGTCGCTGTCGCCGTCGCCGTCGCCGTCGCCGTCGTCGCTGTCGCCGTCGCCGTCGCCGTCGTCGTCGTCGTCGTCGTCGTCGTCGTCGTCGTCGTCGTCGTCGTCTTCGACGTCGTCGTCTTCGACGTCGTCGGCATCGTCACGCTGATCGCGCGTGGCCCCGGGCCGAGAACCTCTCCGCGGAAACCCGCGCGGCGACCGCGTGGCGCCAGGCGGCGCAGATGGGCGCTGGGGAACGCTGGAACAAAGATGTGATGCCCGATGCGGACATGCGCGTGCGTCTCGAGAACGCCTGGTGTGACCTGATGCTGTTCGTGGGCGAGAAGGTGAGCGCGGTGTCACCGAGTCTCTACAACATGCCCCCTTGCCGCGCCTTCCAGGCCAGGCGCGCCCAGTGCAATCTGAAGGAGGCGGACTACCAGAAGCCCTCCAGCGCTTTTGGCCGCGCCCCCCATCGCGATCTACCTCGGGGAGGTCCTGCAGCTGAAACCCACGGGGTCTTGGAGGCCCTTGCTGTGTGACCGGCGGCAGCTGGCGGCCGCCGGCAGAGCGAGGGAGGGGCCGCCCGTCGAGCGCCGGCAGGTCATGAAGCCCTTTTGCGACGCGCCCCTCTCCTTCGAGCTCCAGGCCACCCCGCGTCATGGGCCCGCGCCTCGCGGAGCTGATGAACTTCGCGCGCGAGCCGAGGATTGCGTGGCATCCTCGGGGGGCCTTGTCTGTCTCGTCGCGGCCCTATCCGCGTGAAGCCGCGTCGAGTCCGCGCCGAGTCCGCGCCAATTCCGCGTCGAGTCCGCATCGGGCCCGCGTCGGGCACAGGAAAAGAGGCCAATTTTGGGGACAGGCGAAGCCCCCCGAATACGCCAGGCAGCGCCGCCGATGTGCGGGCGCGCGTCCAGCCGAGGACGCGCGCACCGAGACCGGCCGAGGCGCGGCTCCCGATGGGGCACGCGCTGGCGTGGTATTGGGGCACGGTGGCCCGCTGGATGATGATGAGGTGCGCGACGAGAGACGCCCAGATTCAGGGGCGCGTCCTCTACAGTCGGGGCCTTGACCTAAGGAAAACCTGAGGCAAGCTGTGAAACAATTGAGGAACATCGAGCCCCTCCCCAACGAAAAGGGTTCCTTCTTCAAGACCCCTACTGTACTTCGTGCAGGCTGCCGACGCGCCCTCGCCCCGGCTGCCCGTGGGCGTGGCCGCGAGGCTGCTGAAAATCAGGTCGACCCGGCCGTGCCCGGCGGCGAGCGCGGAGCATGGCCGTTGGATTTGGGCATGCGGGTTCGGTTGTTGGAGCACCTGGGCCTCGAGCGGAAACTGGTCATGGACGCGGAGGGCGAGATCGCGCGCGTGACCATCCACCCCCGGGGCGAGGGCGAGAAGGAACGCGCGAGGGCCGGGAACCGCCCCGCGCGCCTGCGCCGTCTGCGCCTCGGCGCACGGGCCCGCGCGGACAAAGTGCAGGGCCGCGCCCGTCCGCGACCGGCCGGCAGAGCGCGCGGACGGAACCGACGCTTCGGACGCGGAGCTGCTGGCCTTCGTCGAGCCTCAGACGTCGGGCCCCATTGACATCCGCAAGCGCAGAATGACGCGCCTGGGCCTGCAGGTCTCCCGTGCCAGAGTGCTCGCGCCGACGGCTTGCCGGGGCCAGGCCATGCGCGAGGGCGTCATCGTCGACGCCAAGTATAAGAATGCGGGCGATATGGGCGGGTTCTGGCCCCGCTTGCACGTCGTGCTCTCCAGGGCGACGACGTCGTGTTACCTGCCGATGATCCGCGGTCCAGGCCTGGACTTCTTGTCTCGAGGGTCGCCGGCAAACGTGGCCGCGCGCCGCCAAACTTGCGGCGCTCGCGCGGAGCGACAAACGGCCGCCAAGTTTGCGCGCGAGCTCGGCCTTGGCAAGTTCCCGCGCAAGTGGAGACGGCGTCTGCCAGCGCTTGCAGGCGCGCTTGCGCTGTGTTTGCAACGCCGGAGAATCTTTGCGTCCGCGGCCGCAGCGCGGGGCCGCTGCGACCTGCCAGACGCATTGTGTCTTTCTTCGTGTCAAGTTCCGGAGCTTGAAGCTGGCTGCAAACCGTTGCTGGTACATGGCAGACGCTCACGTAGCGCGCGGCGCTGGCCAAACACATAGTGCACGGTGCTGCTACGTCTCAGAGTGCAGAGCGCTACGGCTTCACGCGCGCGGCGCTGTCCTGCGTCCATGTCTCATCCCCTCCTCAGCAGCCCCGAGCGCGCCGCGCTGTCTGTCCCTTCCTCCATGACCGTTCTGCAACGCACTTGTGTTTTCATTGTGGGTCCGTCACGTTGTATTTTTGTAATGAGCGGTCGTGGGTATCGTGCCACATGAGTGCAAATGGTTGGGTGCGTCCCCGGGATATTTTACAAGACAATGAAGGTGGGGTGGTGGGGCGTCGGTCCCAGTCGACAGGGGGTTCTGACAGAAGGGATGAGCAATCGTGTAGACTACGATGGTAATGGTGGTGACATCGGCAATGGCGACGCTGGCGATGATGACCGCGATGTTTCTGATGAGGATGATGAGACAGTGCGCGTGTGCGCGCAACTCATATTGCAAGGCATTGGGCACTGGCAAATTTTTGAAGGATTCTGTTTCCGCGTTGGAATGCAATTTTTTGTTGGAAGGGTTCCGCCGTGCACGCGCGCGGATATGCACGCGTGGCCCGCATGGTATCATTTGATAGAGTTGACGGGTGCGCGTTGGTTGTTGTACATGTTTTCGACATGCGCGAGGGTGTGGCCTTCACGCTTCATGTGGCAGAATGGCAGCACACCGATGTTTTTTTGTGGCTGCGTGTGCGCGCCCGCAGAGCTCTGGCCACTTTTTGCTCAAAGAAAAAGGATGTGGTAAGTACTTTTGTGGACGGATATGTCTTGAACGTGCTATCGCATCATTTGGTCTTTGACAAGCTTAACATGCGCGCGCGGCGGCGTGCGCATGTAACACGCATGGTATTCTTTGTTCGGGATTGTTACACACTGCAATTGCTAGATCAACACAGGAGATGACGGGTGGTGGTGGTGGGGATGGCGGTGAGATGCTATTTGATATTTGCAAAGGGAGACCGTGCATAATAAAGGTTGTAAAACAACAAACGCAGAGGCGAGCGGATAACCCTGGCCACGGTAGGATGTTACCGTCTCATTCTTTCGAAGTCAAGGGGTCTACGTGGCGCAATTGTAATCCTTGCTGGTGGCAATGGCAGCAGAACCGCCAACGAGCCCACGGGATGCCCGCGAGGCGCCCACCCAGCGAAAACCCGGAGAATCCAGCCCGCGCGCGGCCAGGTGCAAACCTCGGTCCTCGAACCTCGATCGTCGTCGTCGCCGTCCAAGACATCTGATGTTCTGTTTTTTTCCACGATGAGGTCCCCAGGAATCCAAACTCTTTTCCCAAGGCTGGTCTTTCATCCCGAGCCGTCCCTCGGTCCTCGAATCTCGATCGTCGTCGTCGCCGTCCAAGATATCTGATGTCCTGATTTTTTCAATATAAGGTCCCCACGATTCCAAACTCTTTTCCCAAGGCAGGTCTTTCATCCCGAGCCGTCTCTTGACGGTCCTGGCCTGGGCCCCTGGCAAGGGCCCGTGGAGAGGCCCAAGACGGCAACAAACCGTCCGGCGTGCTCTTCGTCATGACGCGAGCGTTTTGGGGGTCGCCACCGTCATCGTCGTCGTCGCCGTCGTCGTCGTCGTCGCCGTCGTCGTCGTCGTCGTCGTCGTCGGCGGCGGCGGCGGCGGCGGCGGCGGCCGAGCGCAGTCCGAGCGCGCGGCCTCCACGGTCTCCGGGCGGTCGATCTCCACCCGCACGTAGGGGCCCAGGTCTCGGGACCCCTCCTGGCCACGGGGGGCGCTCGGCCCCCGCCCCCCCCCCTCAGTCGGCGCCGCCGCCGCCGTGCTGAGCCGTGGCCCCGGGCCCTCGGGGGGCCCTCGATGGAGATCACCTCCGTGGGGGCCAGATCGGGCCACGGGGGGCCATTGCCCTGGCTCCCTCCCTGGCCTCGTCCTCGGGCGCTGGCTTCCGCCGGCCCTCCGCCGGCTTCTGCCGGCGAAGGCGGCCTCGTCTCACCTCCGCGGGCTGCCGCCGCCCTTCCGCCGAGGAAGAGATGGCAACCCTTTTCGATCCTCGAGGACGAGGCTCTTGCTGGAACGCCTCACTGGCTCCCCGCCCATGAGGAAGGTCATTGAAACGGCTGTGAAAAGTTTGGGCTCCCTCTGCTGGCTTCCAGGGGCCTCCGCGGACCCCCATGAGATCTCCGCGTACCTCCAGGGGTCAGGAACTGGGCGTAAGCAAAAAAACCCGCGCCGTGGTCGTCGTCGTCCTCCTCCTCCTCCTCCTCCTCCTCCTCCTTCCGGCTCTCCTTTCTACATTAGATCGACTTCGGCCGCACGGGTCAGGATCCGGGGCGGAAGCAGAAAACACCTGCGTCGTGGTTGTCGTCGTCGTCGTCCTCCTCCTCCTCCTCCTCCTTCCCGTTCCCCTTTCTGCGCTGGACTGGCTTCGGCCGCAGGGTCGGGGCGCCTTGGCCCGTGTGGAGGCGCCCCCCCCCCCGAAACACGCGATCCACGCAGCGTGCGACTGGGCAGCAGCGGCGTGAAAGACCAGAAGGGCGAGGAGAAAAAGAAAGGGCAAAAGCATCCATGCGGGCGTCTGGCCCGCGACCCCCGACGTCTGATTTTTTCCACTGTGGGCCCCCTTGACCTCTCGGCATTCTCAACGCCCGCACTCCCCGCATGCCCTGCTGCGGCTCCCCGCTTCCCGGGCCCCTCTCTCCTGCTGCTGCCGTGCGATGGAGGAGGGAGGAAAGGAGGCAAGCACGACGACGACGACGACGACGACGACGACGACGACGACGACGACGACGGCGACGGCGACGACGACGACGATGACGACGACGACGACGACAAACTGCACCCCATTCCCCAAATAGCCCTCGCACTCAGGCGGTCCCTGCCTGTGGTCCTCGGGGCCGCTTGCTTCGGACCGCTCCTTCGGCCGCCCCCTGCGCGGCGCAGCGGCCTCCGGGGACGTCGGATACGGCGGCGCAAAGACCACTCGGCTCCGAGCTGCGTTCATCACGCCGGAGGTCTGGGGGTGGAGGCCGTTTTTCTCTGGGCTCTGGCAGGGTTCACCCGCGTGGAGGGAGGGGGTGCGGGCCTGGCGAGGCCCCGAAGGAGCAGACGCTTTTGGCTGGGGCGCGAGAGCGGTACTTGGCATCGGCCCCAGCTGTTGGCCTTCCAGAAGCACGTGCCTGCGCACGTGGGCCGCCATGCGGCCACCGTGCCGGGGATCGGCGCCCTGCTGCCAGCCGCAGGCCACCGGCCACCCCCGCAGGGGCCGGCCCAGCAGGCGGGGTGGCGCCGGCCGCGGGGCAGCCCGCGGCACCCCCGCGGGGGCCGCCGCGGCGCGCCCTAGCGGCACTCCAGACTGCCAGCTGCCACAGCGCGCGTGTGTGTGTGTGTGTGTGTGTGTGAAAGACGGGATGCATTTCTCGATGTGGGCGTGCGGTCTAGGAGCAGCTCTCGACCTGGCCTTCCCGAGCGCGGCCTCACCGACCCGCTCCGTGGAGCCCCCTTGCCCCAAACGGGCCCCTCGCCCTCGAGGCTCTGGGCTGGGGGGCCGCCGGCCCGCGTCCTCTGAGCGAGGCGAGGGGCCCTCCACGGCAAGTGGTCGGCGTGCTTCTGGGACGCACGGAGGCATTCTCGGGGGCGGCGATCGGGGCGACTAGCCCAGGGGCGGGCATTACACGTACTCGCCCGGGAGCCTCGCCGAAGGCATGGACCATCTGCGCCACTGGATACGTGCTTTGTTCTCCCCTGGGCTATTCGCCCCCGTCGTCGCCCCCGACATGCGAGTACGTCAAGTGCGTGTCGTGTCGACCCCAGCGTTGGTTCCTGACACCGCAGGGATCGTTCAAACTTGAACGATCGGTGAACGCCGGATCGTTCAACGGCGGGCCGATTCTGGGCCACGGGGGGCGTTCAACCGTCGCGGCGAGTCGACACGACGAGAACCTACCGTACTATATGGGCGATTTCTGAAGCCCTGAACCCAAAAACGTTTGCATCTCTCGGGGGCCCATTTTGTACATCCGCCGCCTTCCGCCGAGCTTCCGCCAGCTTCCGCTGGAGGAGGCGGCCTCGATTTACTTCCGCCGACCTTCCGCCGAGGAAGAGATGACAACTCTTTTGATCCTCGAAGGGAAGGCCTTTTTTGGAACGCCTCCCATGTCCTCCTTGGAGGCGCGCGTCCGACCCTAACGTACAATATACCCATCTTGTGTATACCGTTTCCCCAGCGGTACGGCCAGAAAGCGCCCGCCACGACACACATATACGATCAGATTTTTCGGTGCATGCGTCGCCCCAAGAGGGGCGATGCACACATAGTACTAGTATGTTGGGGTGACGCCGATTCTTAGGCTGCTGAGGGTCGGTCGGGCCGCTTCTGACCCCCCTCCCTTCCACGAGGGGGGAGGTGCCTCTCCTCCGACGTGTGCGGAGCTTATTTTCGTCCGGCGGCTTCCGGCGGCTTGCGGGGGAAATGAGAAGTGGCGGGCCTTCTCAGAAGGCTATGAAGTCTCCCGGCCTTCTGAGAAGTTCCACTGGCCCTCTGGGCTTAGGTGGTCTTGCGCGGTTTCTCTTCCAACCCATCCCTCTTCCCCTTCGGCGAGGGGTTGGGTCGGCTTTGGTTCCCAGTAGCTGTCCATCCAAAGACGACCGCTGAACATGCTCAGACTCGGGTGTTACTTATGTGCAGTGAGGGCGGGTGGGAATGAACTAGACGGCTTGCGGGCGGGTGGGTGTCTTGATTCCTCCCCCTACCCCCTCCCCTGGACCTGGAGGGGGGGTTTCGTGAGACGTTGGAGCGTCCAAGATGGCTCTAAAGGGCTTCAGAGAGCCCAAGAGGGCCTCCAAGATGGCTTAAGATATCCCAAGATGGCTCAATGTGGCTCCCAAGATGCTCCAAGAAACTCCAAGACCGCTCCAAGTGGCCACGGAGCCTCCCTAGTAGGCCGCCAAGAGGCCAACATTCTTCAAACACCGAAGGCAAATCACTGACTGTTGCCTTCTCGCCTTTTCGTATCGGATGGCCTTCCGAAGCCTCAAAACAGCTCGAAGCCCCTGAGGGCCACAAAAGAGGTTCAAGGGAGCCCCAAGACGGCCCCAAGAGCGCCCAAGAACGCTCCAAGAGGTGTCCAAGAGACGATTCTAGGTACTCTAGAAGGGGCGAAGCTAATTGAAGCCCGTCCCTTCTTTAATCGATGTCCTCCAAGATGACTCCAGAAGCGTCCCCAAACCTCCCAAGAGCGCCCCGAGAGGGCCCAAAGAGGCGCCAAGGAGGCCCCAAGAGGCGCCCAATAGGTCTTCAAGAAGCTCCCCAAGAGTTCCTCTTCCTCTTCCTCCTCCTCCTCCTCCTCCTCCTCCTCCTCCTCCTCCTCCACTTCCACTTCCTCCTCCTCCTCCTCCTCCTCCTCCTGTCCCTCGTCCTTCTTTCCCGCCTTTCCTCATTCGGCAGGTCCGCGAAGGCGCATACGGTTCGCTCCTGGGTCTGCGCAGGCTGATCCAAGACTTAATTTTGGCGGCTTCCTCAACTCTTGATCCACTGCATGCTCCACCGCTTTCCTGATCAAGGCAACTCGCCTGGGCATCGTCCCCGAAGACGCAGGAAACCTCTCAGAAGGCCCGAGGCTCTCTGATAAGCCCCGCCGCCTTCTGAGAAGGCCTTCTCCTTCTCACTTCCCCTCCTCGCTCGCCGCCGACTCGTGCCCAGCGAGAGGTGCGCCAGGCCTGCTTCTGGGGCGCTTTTGGGCCTGAGCCGGCGAGGACGCTGGGGCCTCTGGACGACGGGGGCTCCTTTGTGCGGTCAGCGTTCATTTGAGGATTTTTGTGGCGGCCAACCGTGTTGCCAAAGTGTCCCGCTGCAGGGGCCGTTCGGCCGTTCGCGCCAGGGCGCCCAGCCCCGCAAATAAGAACGCGTGGGCACGCAATAGCAAATCATTATGTCGGGCCTGGTGGCCTCGGTGCCACATGTTCGCGGGCCCCTCCGACGTGCATGTATACTTTTCCGTGACGTCGGCCCGGGGGTTGGACGCCTTGCCCCGGGGGTCGGCTTCTCGTCCCCGACGAGAGCCGTCCTGAGGACGGCCCCGGGGCCGGGGCACGGCCTCCACAGAAGCCAAAGACGTTGATGATGTGGAGGAGAAGGAGCAGGAGGAGGAGGAGGAGGAGGAGGAGGAGGAGGAGGAGCAGGAGGAGCAGGAGGAGGAGGAGGGAGGAGGAGGAGGAGGAGGAGGGAGGGCAGGAGAGGAGGAGGAGGAGAGGAGGAGGAGGAGGGAGGAGGAGGAGGGAGGAGGAGGAGCAGAGGAGGAGGAGGAGAGGAGGAGATGAGGAGGAGGAGGCGGAGGAGGCAGGAGGAGGAGGAGGAGGAGGAGGAGGAGGAGGAGCAGGAGAGAGGAGGAGGAGGGGAGGAGGAGGAGGGAGGAGGAGGGAGGAGAGGAGGAGGAGGAGGAGGAGGGGAGGGAGGAGGAGGAAGAGGAGGAGGAGGAGGAGGAGGAGAAGGAGGAGGAGGAGCAGGAGGAGGAGGACGAGGAGGAGGAGGAGGACGCTCTTGGGCCGGGACGTGGTCGGTGTGTCGTGCCGAGGCGTGGTGGGCCAGAGCCTGCGGCGCGACAAGCGAAGCAAACGTGCCTGACCGTGATGCAATGCCTGGTGCAATGCGCTGAGCTGTCCGCCTGGTGCAATGCCTGGTGCAATGCCTGGTGCAATGCAACGCCTGGTTCAATGCAATGCCTGGTTCAGTGCAACGTTCAGGCGCCGCGTGGACCAATCATACAGACGGCTTGGGGAACCCGAGGCGGCGGCTCAGGAATCTCGCGGCGGCTGCCCGAAGAGACCTTTCCGGATGACGGCACAGGAACTCAAACAAGAAGCCGTCTGCGACGTCGAGGCGGCAGCCCCGCCGAAAATCAGCGGCGGCGGTCCGAAGACGACCGAAACATCGCTCAGAAACGACCGTGCTGGCCGTGACGCCCGTGTGCGCGCGTGCTGTGCTGCTCATCCCTGCCGCCCTTCGCCTGCCGCTGCACTCTGCAACGCCTCCCTTGCTGACCGTGGCAACCCGTGCGCGCGTGCCGTGCTGCTCGTGGCTGCCGCCCTTCACCTGCCGCTGCTCGCCCTGGACCTTCACGTTCCGCACCCTCCGCGCAGCAGGCGCATCGGCGCGGCCACTGCACTGCCGCCGCCGCGGCAACATCTGCGCCCGCCGCGGCCGTAGTGGTGACCACCACGACGGCCGCGGCGACCGCGACGGCGGCCACGCCGCGGTGGCACCTGCCGCGCAGAGGGTGCAGAGCGTGGAGGTCGAGGGGCCCTCCCCAGCCGTCCCTCGCGCACGCCCGGCAGCGGGGCCGAGCCGGGGCCGGGCCGACGCCTCGACGAGCTCCACCAAGTCCTCAGCGCCGGAGCGGCGGCGCACGTGTGGGTGGCAGCACGCAGATCCAGACGGGCAATGGCCAGAGCAGCACTCGCCTGCGCGCCCAGGCCTGAACCTCGCAGTCCACCGCGCGCCCGAGGCCGGCCAGCTTCTTGGATCGGCTGCTCCCCGATGCATGAAGAACGTGGCGCTGTGCGATCGAACGGGAAGGAGGGTGGCTGAGCATTGGAATCTACGGCCAGCCGATCCCAGGGCGGGTGAAAGGCGCGCTGAGGTGAGGGCGTAGAACTGCTCCATGATGAGCTCCCACGTTCTTCTGGCGCCGTCCTCGACCTTGTAGCGCATCGGCTCGGCAGGCACGTTTATAATCTCCTGCAGGATGTGTGGAGGAGGGGGGACGTGCTGGAACTCGCGCGCATGCTCTTCCTGCTGCCTGGACCGCCACCCGCCAGCCTCCCCTGGGATATATATATATATAGAGAGAGAGAGAGAGAGAGAGAGAGAGAGAGAGAGATTAAGAAAAACAAAAAAAAGAGGAGGCAGCAAGACACGGCAAAGAAGGCGCACGGAATCGCGCCTATACGTTCGGTGGTGTCGTCTCCTCCTCCACACCTTACCTCCTCCTACGTGCTCCCTTTACCTCCCTCCCTCCCTTCTCCTTTCTCATCTCTCCGCCCTCCACTCGACCTCCCTCCGACGTGCTTCCCTTTGCCTTCCCCCCCTCCTCTCCCCTCTCTCCTCTCTCCGGCCTTCTCCGCCCTCGCACCTCCTCTCCCCCTCGCACCTCCTCCGCCCTCGACGTCTCTCCGCCCTCGCACCTTCTCTCTCCACGGCTACTCAGCATGAGCGCCGCTCTCCCCTCTGCGCTGACAGGGTCCACGCACACGCGCGGACGGGAGGCCGCGCGGACGGCCGTCGAAGGCCTACAAGGCCGCCGGAGCGGAAGGATAGCGAAGGCCGCCGAAGGCCTCCGAAGGCCGCCCAGCCGGCGCGCGCGCACCCCGCGCGCGCCCGCCCGCGCCCCGTCCGCCCCCCAGCGCGCGACCAAAAGGGCCCCAAGAGACCCCCAAGTGGCTCCCAGGAGGCCCCCAAGAGGACCCCAAGCGGCCCCAAGATGCCCCCCCGAGGCACCCAAGACGCCCAAGAGCCCCCCAGAACCGCCAAGAGACCCCCAAAACGTCCCAAGAGGCCACCAAGAAACCCCCAAGATACCCCAGGAGGCTCCGAGAGGCATCCAAGAGACCTCTGGCCCTTTTGCTTGCCCTCCTCCTCGTGATCCTCCTTCCTCTTCCTACCCCTTGTTTTCCTCCTCCTCCTCCTCCTCCTCCTCCTCCTATTCATTCTCCTTCTCCCCACTCCCTCATCCATCCATCCAGCCTCCTCCTTCTCGTCCTCCCTCCTTCGCAACGTTCGGCCGTCCGTCTCTTTGCTCCCGCACCTCCCTGATCGCCTCAACTCGCCTGGACATCGTTTCTGAATGGGCTGGTGGGGATGTTTTTTTAGTCAGCGGCCGCGGGCGAGCGCGCCGGCGGCGAGTCCAGTCAAAGCGGGGCGCGCAGTGACGAATTAACCAAAGGCGACGGAGGGAGGCTACACCTACAGCGGCAAACCGAGCCCTCACGCAGCAGCCCAGCGGCGGACCGGCGGGTGGGGGGACAACTGAAACGGAGTCGAACTGCCATCGTGCAAATATGCAAAACGTCGGACACCAAGGAGTCGGGACACACGACGACCCGGGCCAGAAGCCGAGGTTAATGCAAGGACGCAACCCCGGACAACTGCGTGAGTACCAGGGTGGCCCGAAGGACTGTCGGCCAAATAATTAAAGCCAGGGGGCGAGAGCGTTGTCAGGCTGCAAATCCCAGGGTGGCCGTAGCCGCATAGTCCCGAGGCAGCAGAGCGCACGAGTGCGGGAAGCAGCGGAGCTGCGACGCAACCAAAATGGCGCGGGTCACCACGAACCAGTGCGTGAAGAGGCGCCAGGTTGACCCACACCGGGTCCTGAACCGGGCCGCGAGCTTGAAGCCAGCACACAAAAACGCGACGGGCGGGCGAGGACGCCACGGGAAAGACCCAAGCCTGAACCCAGGGAGCCGGTCACTCGTGGTGGGGGCGCACGGGTCAGAGCGGTGCCGAAGACGGCCGCCGGCCCCGTATGGGAAGGAGTAGCCGCGATTTGAACGGGCTGGTGGGGATACTTTTTAGTCAACGGCCGTGGGCGGAAGCGCCGGCGGCGTGTCAAGTCGAATCGGGGCGCGCCACAGACTAATTAACGGCCGAACTGGGGCACAGTGCTGCCAGAGTACGCATGCAAGAGGCCGGGGCGGATGAGGCAAGATATACGCGGGAAAAATCAAACAGAGCGACGGGCGAGGCGACAACTAAGCGCGGCCGAGGCTTCAGGGTAGGGGCTGCTGGGACTGAGCTGAAGGAAACTGCCGTGTGCACAGCAGCAAGTCGGTCGGAGGCGTCACGCGTGCTGGTGGGGATACGCGAAGCGTCTAGAATTGTATATCTTTGATTCCACCGCCACGGCCGGAAACGATGAGGATGCCCCTGCCGCCCGCGATTGCGACGAGCAAATTCATGAAGTGGCCGTCTGCTTTTCCACCTTAAGACTCTAAAAGGTATGCGCTGTGGTGCCTGGAGTCCATGACGCACGAGCTTCCCGGCCCAATCATACTGTTCTCTTCTCCGCGCCTGTACCCGCGACTCCACGTGATACTCGTTCATCGTTCGCGAGACGATGCCCTCGCACTGGTGCGTGTAATCGGCCGTGGACTCCTCGTCTTGCTCGGGGATGCTGAGGATGCGGCGGGTCTTCTTCCTTTGCAAAACAAGTTTGTTTCTCTCCTGATGGACGTTGAGGTTCGAAGCGCCGGACCCCCACAAGAGGCAAGGCTTGACGGTCATGTTCGGAAGGTGGAACTTCTTATTCACAAAGCCAGACTGGTGCGTAAGGAGGCATGTGTATTTGAAGAAACAAAACCATGCCTTAGAGACCCTGTTCGTGAACTCCTTCTCGAAAGAGCTGTCGAAACAAATGCTTGTGCCGAGCGTCTTGAAACGGTCGCTCCTGCCTGTTTTACGGATGACCCTGTCGCCCACGCTCAGCGTCATTGGGATACCGTCCGCTGCCGTCGTGCACCAAGAGCACTCCCCGAAGGGCACTTCCCATCCAGACTTGGGCAGCATATTCATGAACGTCTGAACCATCTGTTGCAACGTCTCCAACGAAGTACCGAACATCTAAAAGTTGTCGGCGAAGCAAGCAACACCATAGAGTTCACCATCCACCTCGACCCTCCTAATTCTGGCCAGCGCACTTCGCCTGGAAGTCGATCAGACCGAATTCGAAAATCAAATTGAACGCCTTTGGAGCGTCTGGCCCCCCTTGGCACAGAGATCTGGTGCGGGTGAAGTCGCCGCTGTATACCCCCCCTGGCTCTGAATTGACACTTGGATTTCCGAACTTCCTGAAACAGCGCTGCCACAATGATCTTTTGGAAGCCCGTCTGAACCAGGCGTTGTACGCCCAGCTAGCTGGTGGTTGACGGTATCGTACGCTTTCAACAAGTCTCCTTCGACGACGAAAAGCGAAGGTAACACTCCCTGCCGCTCAATATGCTTTTCGACCGAATTCCGAAATGTAAGGATTACACGAGAGAAAAGCCCCAATCAATGGATGGTTTTTGCTGAGGAGATCGACCGGGAACCCGGGAGCCCGGGAATCCATAACCCACCGAATTCGGCCCAGAACCTATATCCGGGAACCCGGGAAACCGGGAACCCAGCCTGCTACCAAAATCGGCGGGAAACTTTCGCCAAATCTTTCAACTTCCGCTAGGACCCCTTCAGGGCAAGCGCTGAAAGAGGGAATCGCATCTAATGCTTGTCTTTTCGGCCAGAATGCAAAGTCGGTCTCGCTCAGGTTCTCCAAATGTTTAAGCTCCAACTCTGATATGCATGCCGCATGCCACGTGTAAATTTCATCAACACTGGCATGCTCGTAGTGGGTCTCAGCTTTGACGGGTGTGTGGGCTCCTCCTTCAGTATGCACTGTACCACCACGCGCTCCCAGGCCATCTCGTCAAGCTCAGACGGGTGGTTCAACAAACGCAGTTTGAACATTTCCGCCAACAATTCGAATTTATCTTCGTCCAAACGCGTCACCATATCAATAACCACGTTGTCGCCTGCACGCGACGGGTTTGCCTTGAAACGGTATGCCACCCGTCGCACAAGACAACCGTCACGACGTTGAAAGCAGCCCAAATTAGCAGCATACCGCGACTGGTAAACCCAGGACGGCATGGCCTCCCTGAGCGAACGTTCATTGTTGTAGAGGTCATGGATGTAACCATTGCCCTTTGACTCATTTCTGAAAACCATCTCGAGCGTTTCGGGGTCCCGGAAGAATGGTATCACATTCTTCTGGAATGGTCTGACCAACCGAGCATGTTGTAGGGCTTCAGGCATCTGCGCGTCGAAACGTTTTCTTGCGATATGCCTCCTCTGCTGTACGATCGCGTTTGAAAGGAACGCCCGGGAAAAGTGGTCCGCTTGCGTCCTCGCTTGCCGCTCCAAGTCGTACAACTCACTTTTCTCGTGCTTGATCGCCTGCGTATCGGGCCAGCCTCGTCCAGGCACGCGTCCATGGAACTTGGCTGCAGCAGAGATTGCCTGGGTAACCTGGGAGATGGACGGAACCAGGCTGTCGAATCCACCGATGTCAAATTCGTAGGTATGCCGTGCGTGTCACCACTAACGACCATACCCACTCCCAGCCTCCCCCCCCCAATTTGTAGGCTGATGAGGGCGTTGCCACCACGACCCCGAATTTTTACGACCCCCTGCGTGCGCCGCCGATTTGTCTGCTTCCTCGTTGCCAACCACCCCCGTGTGTGACTTGACCTTGACGAGTTCCATCGCGTATTCCCCTGACAATCTTCCCGACGAGTGCTCCAGCGTAACAATTTCTATGCTTTCCCTAGGCCGGAACTTCCCAGTCATAGCCCCGATGGCGTACAGGGAGTCAACCTTAGACACGATGTTGCGGGTGTTCTTCGTCATGGCGTTGTTGATCGCGTTCGTCTTGTCCCTGGTGGACAGAAGAAACACGCATGCTTCTACAAGTGCAGAACGTTCCCCCGTATTGCTCAATAACCTCGCTGCCCCCACGAACACCTCTCCAGCGGGATCGACCACGACCGGGTCACATGCTGACAGCAAAGGCTCTCCTATGCCAAGCCTGTCTCCGACCCCTTTGATAATGAACCCCAAGAGGCGCATGAAAGCCGTCTCCGCTGGTACCGGCAGTGTCCGTTGGTGAATACATGCAGAGCGCTGTCCTCAACCTCGCTGGTCACCTCCAGGTCCGTTGTCAGCACCCCTGGGATGTTCAAGTCGTCTTTCGCCGCGGTGGCATAACCCAAATCCTGAAGTTTCCAGCCCACGGGCTTGATACATGGCTTTGCTGCTCGCTTCTTCGCCCTGCCCGCCTCCATGGCCCCCCCCGATGCTCCAGACCAAGCATCTGTGATCAGTGGTGGTAGCGGCTATCTCCGCAGAGTGGCATTTGCTCTGACGCGAAATCGAACGAAACACCATGACATCTACTTCCCTGGGTGGGGGCTTCAGGTAACAATGGCACGTGTACGTGTTAGTCGAGTCCTCCCGGTTGTGCCGCGTTCGCGCATTGGTGCAAGAGGAGGGGAGGAGGAGGAGGAGGAGGAGGGAGGAGGAGGAGGAGGAGGAGGAGGAGGAGGAGGAGGAGGAGGGGGAGGAGGGGAGGAGAGAGGAGGAGGAGGGGGAGGAGGAGGGGGGAGAGAGGAGGAGGAGGAGGAGGAGGAAGAGGAGGGGAGGAGGAGGAGGTGAGGAGGAGGTGGGGGCCCCAGGGCACCCTCGGAGGCACCCTCGGAGGCGCCTGCGGAGGCGCAAGGCCCCCCGCGGGCCCGCGCCCGCGAGCCCGCGAGCCCGCGAGCCCGCGGCGCGGCGGGTCCTTGGGCACGTCGGCGGCGCCCTCGAGCAGCTCCACCACGTCGCCTCGGCCGCAGGCGGTCATCGTCGCCGCCGTGGTCGTGGCATTTGAGCGACGATCGCAGACGGGTCTGGCGCGAGGTGGCGTAGCGACCTTACGCGGCGGCTTACGCGGGCCGCCTGCGCGGCACGCCACATTGAAGAGGAGGGCGCTTACGCGCGACCTTGCGCGGGCAGCTCACGCGCCAATGTCGGCGCAGACGACCCCGCTTGTTGGGGGGCGTCGCTCATTTGAAGGATGTTGGCGTGCGCGCGCGGCGGCGCGCGCGTGTGCCCTGCAGTGCATGTTTCGCGGGGGGTCCTTATAACAAGACGCTTCTTGGTTCTACACATGTGCACCGCATCGCATTGCAACAAGAGGTGGCAAAGGGGTGTCGATACTGATATGAGTGGCATGTTGTTGTTTGATTATCGTACCAACCGGTGTGATTTCGCACTGCATTATTTCGACCGGCCGACCGACCGTGCCTGGGATGTGCGCTGGACTGGGACATGTGCTGGGATGTATTATGCTGGGACGTGTGTTGCCTTCGTGTGCTGGGATGTGTGCAGGGCTGTGTGCTGCCTCTGTGTGCTGGGATACGTTCTGACTTCGTGTGCTGGGATACGTGCTACGGTGTGGCCTGGGTGTGTGCCGCCCCCGTGTGCCCTGTCTGCCCCCGCGCGCCCTTCCGCCCCGTGGCCTCCGTCTGCTGATTCCGACCGACCGACCGACCGAGCGTGCCCCCCCTCCTGCCCGGCCGTGCCCTCCCGTCCCCCTGCTCCCCGCGCCTCCGCGCCCCTCCGCCTCGTGGCCCCCGTCTGCTTATTCCGACCGCCCGACCGTGCCCCCCCTCCCCGCCCCGTGGCCGCCGTCTGCTTCTTCAGACCGACCGAATGACCGTGTCCTTCCTTCTGCCCGACCGTGCCCTCCCGCTCCCCTGCTCCCCCCCGCCCCCGCGCCGTGGCCCCCGTCTGCTTATTCCGACCGACCGACCGTGCCCCCCCTCCTGCCCGACCGTGCCATCCCGCCCCCCTGCTCCCCCCTCGCCCCCGCGCCGCTCCGCCCCGTGGCCTCCGTCTGCTCATTACACAGACCGACCGACCGACCGTGCCCCCACCCTTTCCGCCACGTGGCCCCCGTCTGCTTGTTCCGACCGGCCGACCGACCGGGCCCTCCAGTCCCCCCCTGCCTCCGCGCCCGTCCGCCCCGTGACCCCCCCCCCTGCTTCTTCCGCCGCCGCCCCCGTGCCCCCCCCCCCCCCCTACGCCCCATGGCCCCCGTCTGCTTATTCCGACCGACCGAGCGACCGTGTCCGCCCTTCTGCCCGACCGTGCCCGTCCCGTCCCCCTGCTCCGTGCCCCGCCCCCTGCCCGACCGTGCCCTCCCGTCCCCTGCTCCCCCCCCGCCCCCGCGCCCTTCCGCCCCGTGGCACCCGTCTGCTTATTCCGACCGACCGGCCGTGCCCTCCATCCCCCTCCGCCCTGTGGCCACCGTCTGCTTGTTCCGACCGACCGACCGTGACCGCCCCGTGGCCCCCGCCGACCGACCGTGCCCCCCCCTCTCGCCGGCCGCCCCCCCGCCCCGTGGCCCCCGTCTGCTAATTCCGCCTTAAGACCGTGCCCTCCCCCCGCTCCGGCCGTGCCCCTGGCCCCCTCTCGGGTCCCCACGATGGGCCAAAAAGGCGCCAGGACAGCTCAAGATTGTCCCCTAAACAACCCCAAACAACCCCAGACGGGCCCACACAAGACATCCAATAAGCCACAGAGGCCCCAATAGCACCACGGCCCCGAAGAGTCATAGAGACGCCATTCACTAGCTCACAGTGACATAACAAGTTCTTCACGCCATAGCTCAGCGTGTCGTGGCACACGCGCGCTGCCCCGAAACTACCACAGGTTGGCGCCACCTCCATCTCCCAGTGTCCCACATCCATGATTTAATGATCCTTGGCATGCGTGCCTGTTGTATTTCGGATGAATGACCGTACACAACAAATGTGAACAAAACAGCACGCGGAGGAGGTCCGTTAACCTCGGCCTCGGAAGGGAGTATACTCGAATTCCCTGGACAGTGCTTGCACTTAGGGGTTCTTGCTTGCTTTTCTGCGGAATTGGTTGGGTCCGCCCCAGCTTTCGCCACGTTCTTGCTCGTGGGCGCCTCGTGGGCGCCCCGTGCGCTGGGTGCGTCCGCCTAGCTTTCGCCACGTGGCCGCCCGTGGGCGCCTCGTGGGCGCCCCGTGCGCTGGGTGGACCCGCCGAGGTTTTCGCCACCTTGCCGCCCGTGGGCGCCCCGTGGGCGCGCAGTGCGCCAGGCGGCTCCGCCGAGGTTTCGCCACAGGGCCGCCCGTAGGCGCCTCGTGAGCGCCCCGTGCGTACACCACAAAGCTCGCATCACACACAATGCATCACACGGCTTGCGCCACGTACCCCATACCACACATATTGCACCGCGTGCGTAGCTTGCATGGCGCAGCTCCCTCTCTTACCGGACTTCGTATAGTGCACCAGTCAGATGGGTCTAGATAGCTTGCACCACATACTTCGCACACCATGGACTGCACCACATAGAATGCACTACAGAGCCCGCACCTCGTAGATCGCATCAGAAAGACCATGCCGCACACATCAAGCCTCATAGCTTCCACATCTGCGGTGCCGCACCTCACGGTTTGGGGCTCGCGCTGACAGACCCTCTTCCCAACGAGCACTTCTGCACTGCAGCAGGTGGTGCCCACTTTGTGGTGGTGGTAGCCAGCGCACGAGGCGCCCACGCAGCGCCCACAGTCGGCCACCGACCCCAAAAACCCAGCTCGGGGATCTTCTGACCCGGGTCAATCCAGACCCGGGTCAGCAGGAAACTAAAAACTGCAATGAAGGAAAACAAAAACTGCAACGCAGGTTTTCGCAAACCAGGGTCAGCCAATATGCGCGGCCGCCTCGCGGCCACGAGCGGCTCGCTGACCCGGGTCAGCCAGAGGGGGCCTTCGCAGGATCCTGCAGGATCCGGTGCCCTGGCTGACCCCCGTTTGCACTGACCTCCGTCTCTTAGGCCCCGACCAGCGCACCTTGGGAGGCGGCCGGGAGGTCTGAGCTGGTTGGAACCCCAGAACATCGGCCAGGAGGGGGAGCGCAACCAAGTTCGCTCCAGATCGGTTCCCGGAGCCCTCCCGGGGCCAGCCTCTACAGTCGGACTTGATCGGACAGGACACGCGAGAGGACACACAAGACCCTTTCGAGGGCCTCACTGCCACAGGAATGTCGGAAGCATGGGTCGCGAGACGCAGGACACAAGGGTACCCTTGATTGGGCAGGGTCGACCTGCTAGTCTGGGCCGACCGTAGTGCAGCGTTTCGCCCCGGATCCGTTCCCGACGGTCCTGTGGGCCCGAAAACGTGCCCCCGGGGGCTGAGCAAGGCAAACATGATATTGCCACGAACCCCGACCTTGGAGAACAAGTGGGCTCAGCACGCGACTAGGCGAGTTACGAGGTGAGCTCAGCACGGACGAGTCCATGCGAGCCACATGGGGGGGAGGGGGGGAGCTCAGTACACGACCATGCGAGTCACGGGGGCTGAGCAAGGCAAAGAACCGTCCCGAACGCAGAGCCTCGAATCTGCCTGCCCTTCTTGTTGGCTGGAACCAGTGCTGGGCCACCTCAAACCCCCAGACGACTCCAGGGCGCACCAAGCCATGGCACTGGGCGCCCACGAGGCGCCCACGGTCGGCCAACGGGTGAGCTCTGGGCACGCCCGCCCACTTGCAGCCAAAAATGCGATCAAACACATCATCATGCAAGAAACCTGGGCCAGCTTCCCAGGCGTCTCGTAAGGAACCCTGGGCCAGCATCTGTTGTCAGCACTGGAGGGGGCGAACGTGTTGAACAAAAACTGAGCCAGCTTTCTGGCAAGTTGGTCGAGAAACGCTGGCCCAGCTTTTCGAGGATATCTTCTGATCAGATGTTCGACTGTACTTCAGGGCAGTAGCAGAGCACTTCGGAGCGCAAGCGCGGTTGGGGAACTTCGGACTGGCATAGCTAGGAGGAGTCTCAAAATCGTTCTCCTTTCTAGAAGAGCCCACTTT